CCCGGAGGCGTGCCCCCCCCCCACGCCACTCTGCTCGCCGATGATCTGAATAACTGTAATGTCCAGATAAAGCTTCCTGTCATTGTGCAGAATTAACTGTAAGGCTCCTACCCACTTTGAGAGCGATGAGTGCAGCAGAAAGCAAAGGGCTCCCCTGTCTCTGCCTGCTTGGTGAGATGAGCCTGTTTTCTGCCGTTTATCAGTGGAATTCTGTCCTCGGTGAGGCCCCTGACGACGGGGGCAGCGTGGCGTGGCACAGGGGGGCCTGCAGTGTTAATGTTTACTGTCGCATTTAACTACCTTACCAATATGGCGCTCGCAGAAAGTCTTGAGACGCTGGCTTAATTCAGAAAAAAATATTGCCAATATTTTGGTTTTATAAGAAAAACATTACTTTATTCTTTTGTTTACAAAATATATATATACCACATTAGAAACAATCAGTAGGTTTATGTACAACATTAATTTCAAGTAGTAATAAATTGAAACCCAAATTATAAATGAGCTGTTTTGAATTAAGAAGTTCATTGACAAGCAGTTTCATTGGGTGCTTTTTAATTAGTAACACATTTGCAATAACATAAAACACCATTTGTATTTAGTGTCCCTTTGGGAGCCAATGACTATGATTGCAATTAATGGCGAAATGGAAAGAACAGAACTGAATGAGTCTGTCAAAAAAATTGTGACAGTTCATAAAACAATATGTCCATGCAGAAGATACGGTGAACAATGCTTGTCAATGGACTTTTGTTAGAAGCTAATAAATGTGAAACATTGTTACAGAATTACACAAGACTTTCTGTGAGCGCTATATATGGCAGGCTTGTGTGCTTGGCGATGGGGGACGTTTACGAGGGATGCCTTGGTACCCGGCTCATGAACGGGCATCTGCGCGAGTATCGTGTGGATGCAGACGGAGAAGATGAAATAGTCAGAACGCTTAAGATTAAATCAAAATAATCCCCGTAGCACCAGTGCCTCCTGAGGGGAAAATCCCGAATCCCTCAGGCTGTAGTGTCTCTTTAGCCCAGAGGCTGTAGTGTCTCTTTAGCCCAGAGGCTGTGGAATCGCGTTTGAGGGAAAGTGTGTCCCCATCACATGACACAGGTGTCTCCGAACGCAGCTCTCTCACTGGCTTTCTGAGCCCAGTGACGGATAGTACCGCGGTGCCACATGGAGGTCGGACCGGCACCGTCCTTCCGCTCGCCATGACGATGGCGGTGTGTGTTTATGAGGGAAATGGGTGCTATGTGCTTGCTTGCTAACCTTGGTGTAGCCTGGATTCCCCCAGGCATCATAATGAAACTACACGTGTCATGCTGCAGCGACACTGCCACCAGATCAGCATTCTCACTTTCCCTACCCCCGCCTACGGGCCGTGGTCTTGGCGGGGCGACGCCCACGTGGCACGGGGTCAGCACGGGGTCAGCACGGGGTCAGCACGGGGTCAGCACGGGGTTGATACGTGGCGACCGGTGACCTGCTTCCTGCGGTCCCGCTCATCTGTGTTTGTGATCCTCAGAGTCGCCAGGAGTGCCGTCAAACTTCCGCACAGGCTTTTAAAAATGACTTTGCTGTGAGACGCTCTTGGAGAGCTCTGGGGGCATCTGCCGTGCCGTAACTGTCAGGAAGTCTGGGGTTCAGTCTGAGTCTCACTCCATTATTTCTGGAGCGGGTCGTGAGGTCGGTGCCAGAAGGACAGAAGCAGTGTTCTGATCCCTGATCACCGTGTTTGTTTTGGTGATTGGCTGTTTTCAGCCCTAGACTGTTTTTGTTGGAGTCCTCCTGTGATGTCAGAAATCTCCTTTTAAAATTGATGTGAGCAGAAAAAAAAAGATGCACAATCCCGGCTGCATGCATTTTTACTGCGGCCACCAGACACACGGCCCCGCGGTTTGTTTTCATTCCTGCTCTCGCCAGTCATCCGCCACGCGAGAGTCCATCCAGGTCCTGCTTCGTAAGGCTGACCACCTGAAGTGCCTGAAGACATTGGAGGTTTTCAGTAGATGTTTCTGAAGCACACTTGGCGATATGTTAGTATTTTTTCCCGGTTCTTCTGTGTCTTATGACAGAATATGCTAAAAGATCCACAGATAATAATTGAAGAGCATCATGTACTATATGATTTTCTTCACTGTTGCTTGGCTTGAAGGTGGTTAGAAAGGCACTGATACCTTTAAATCACTATCGCGTTTGCTGTTGTGGATCCAAAGCCAATGAATGGCACCCGAATTCTGCAGAAGTTCAGCCAGGTTTTCTTGGGAGTTCGTTTCTGTGCGACGGCTGACAGCAGAGCCTAAATACTTCAGTGTCTGTTTACAGCTGAACATCTCAGTCTCGTCTTCTCACAGCCCACATGAGGGGCACCACGCGTCCAGTAAAGGTGTCTACCAGGTTTGACTCATGGACTTTGAGTCAGTTGGCTTCAATGTAGTATGGATGCAAAATGCAGTTTGAGCTCTTCTTGCAGAGGAGGTGCCTATGATGTCGGCCATTAGAGGCTGCCCCCCCAAGCAGCGGCGACAGAAACGGCTGCATTTGCTGCTCTGAGACCTGCTCTGTTACTGGCCGAGTAAACACGGCGCTCTTGCTGTATAAGTGTTTTTCTGCTGTTGGCTGGGGCTGCGTAGGTGCTCTGTGTTGATGTTGAGGTGGCCGAGTTTGGCTTCATCTGATAGGCCGTCACCCTCCCAGGCCTTCAGGAAGGTGCCGTTTAGTCTCACCACTGGGAAGGTCTTTCGGCCTCCTGCGCCGCCTCTCAGGGCCCGACTTCAGTCCGTATCGGAGGAACCGCCCGCCTCTCTGGTGGTGGCGGCCATCTTGGTTTCTGTTTACACCTACCTGCCACATGCCGCGCTTCACAGCCACACACATTCGAACCGGGTTTAATTTGCCCTTATGTGCCCGTGGTGGGCGTCGAGCCTGGCTAGACTGAGCTGGGGACTGCAGGGACAGGGACCGGTTAAGGGTGGATGGGGAGTAGGTGGCAGGAGAGATAAACCATCCTCAAAGCCAGCAGGCGGATAAAGGGCCCTTACGCCTGTCCTCTCAACGGACTGATCGCTGCTCCAGATGTGAGATCATTTATGCACCGTTTGCTTCTCTTTCGGTTAGAATAACAGGGAGAAGGATGTGTCATCCCTGTGATACTGCCAGCGCACGCAGGAAGAGTCGCATTGTGAAAAGCACCATTGATTCTTCACCCCCGAGCGTGTCCCAGAGCCCCTCGGGGTGCGTGTGCCGCGTCCCTGCCAGGTTTTCCACTCTACGGGTCAGGTTGTCAAGAATGGTTTCGCCAGATGTGTGTTGCGACACGCCGAAAAAATCCATAAGGGATCTGACGTGAAATTTCAGGATTTTGATTCTTTTTTGCAAGGCTGCCCACGCACTGGAGGCCCGAGCGCACAGTGGGACCGTACTCGTCCGCGCGGCATCCCTGGCATTTCTTGCAGCTTGATGGTGTTTGGCTTGTGACCTTTACGGCCCCTGTTCCATTTGGGCCGGGGTGGCTTTGAATAGATGCCCTGCATTTCAAAAACAACATTCCTCGGAGCCTGGGAACGTGCCTTGTTTACTGCTGCCCGATTCAATCCCATTTGTTTTAGCGCTGGAAAACAAACGCGGGCTTCCTATAGTTATCTCGCAAATCTTACGTATTCTTTTTCTGATGTACTTTTTTGTTTTTTGTCTGGAAGCACTTGGATGAAACAAAAAATGAATGTAATCTGTCGCCTATCTTCAAGGGAGCCTCTTGTTTTCTGTCTAGCTGATAATGGCCGATCCGCAGCTTGGTGTCTGCATGCTTTTGGTGGGATGCGCAGCGATAGGCCGGAGTGTCGCTCAGCTGCAGGATTCTGTGGGTAAAATGCGGCACTGCAGTGCACCGTACGACTTACCCCCGCTAATTAGAAATCTGCAGCTCTCTGTGTGTCTGGTGGATTCATTGACCTCTTCCAAGAGGCCTGATATGAGGTTCCTGGATGTGTTATGGGCTTATCTGTGAATCACCAGCACTGATGTTACTCAGATTTTCTTGAAAAGGAATTTCTTGTTGCAGTCATGCTTCTCTGGTTTCTCTGGTTTTCCACTTCTCCAGAGTGTCTCCACGCAGTCTTGCAGCATTGCGTTTGTGCCATCGTATTGCCAAAATGTTAGGGAAATATTGATGGCGCCCCCCAATGTCCCCTCTGCATCCATACGCCTGGAGGCCAGCTGCCAGCAAACACAGCATGGCCCTCATTGTTTTCCACAAAAGGAGCTAGTCAATACTTAGGAAAACATTGTTTGTATTGTTTGCCACCAAAATTATTCCGTACATCCCTTCCGGGTGGTTCTGTGTTTGGACCACAGCCCTGACTGACACTGACCAGGTCCATATCAGAATTAAATCAGCACAAGGAGGAATGTATGATATTAATGCATGCTGTTAAATAAGGAGGATTCAGGCCCTTTAAGAAGTTGAAGAGGAGATGTAGAGTAACCTGTTGGAGTTTAAGGATCCTCCCCCGACTTGATAGACTGTTGCTTGGATGTTACCCAAGTTAGTGGTGCATTAAAAAAACACAGTAATTCCCAAAAAGGTAAAACAAAAGGTTCCTTATATTAGTGCGGAGAGGGGGATGTCACAGCGGTCGTAAAGCAGAGCAGCGTTCTGCTTTCTGAGCCAAGTCTGAACATGCAGTCAGTCCCCGTCTCTCCAGAGGCCTTTGAAGATGACCTCGACTCTTCCTGCCCCCTTGGTCCCTCACGCATGCCCCTCTCCAGACCCCATGTGTTTGATTTGGAAGGTGGAGATCAAGAACGTCACGAGACAGGAAAGGCAGGTCCTCTTGGTAGGGGCATCTGCTGGGTAGCCTGGATCCCCCTGAGAACCAGCTTTGCTCTCCATAGGCCGCATTGGGAATGGTCAATAATTAGATGCCCAGGTTTGTTGTTGTTGACATCATATCCTGTTCTCTCTGAAGGTATATCCTTTCCTTGGTCTGTTGCCCCCGCAGGCCCGTTCTCCCGGAGCCCATGTGAGCTGTTGCCCGTTGGGGAGGGGCACCCAGTGCAGGCGGTGCTGAAAAGCTTCACCGTGTTATCCGGCTGTGCCAGCAAGGGCACCGTCAGCCTCCCACAGGAAGTACACATCATCAACCTGAGGAGGAACGGCCCTAACAGCGGCTTGGAGAAGACCATGGAGGTACGGCATCACCCAACCTGCGAATGGTTGCACACATAATATTTAGTTGATGAATAACTTAATTGACATATCATCGGTTTTGCATTTTGAAACCCCGTTTGTTGGCCCATAGCCTTGGGGGAAAAGTGGACGTTTATGTCAAGCCGGATGTTCTGGATTTTTCTGAGCCCTGCTGGGTTGAAGCGAGGTGAAGCGATCCTGCTTTGATAAGTGGCCTTTGACTGCGGCTCAGGTTTACTTTGGCCCGAGCAGAATCCCCTCAGCAGGGTCTCCACTGCACAAACACACGCCTGTACCGGCTAAGGAGATTAGCATTGTGCCCTAGTGGGTTCATTTAATTAAGAGCAAAGGTGTAGGAAGTGTCCTGCCATGACTAATGGATGACTGTGTTAATGGCCGGACAGCTCTCCATGCTGACCGCAGCAGTTCTCTGGTGGCGAGAAATGTTTCAGCCTCTTTCACCGTCTCAAACGAGGCCTCTGTGACATCCAAGTGCGAGACCTCGGTCCGGCCTGTAGCCTTGGTGCTGACACCCCCGGGATTCTTCAGACTCCATTGTGGGAGTAGCTGGCTGGGCCCCGCTTGTGACAGAGCAGAGGTCCTATTGCTCGACGGGAGCAGGGGCGACTCATGTGGGTCAAGGTTCTGCGTTCTCTTGGCGGCTGAGAGACGAGGGCTTAAATTGCGCTGAAACTGAATATCTGCCCCAGCGTCGGACACAATGGAGGATTTAATTTGCTCCATTGCCCTCTGTACTTCTCGTACTTTTCTGCTCCGGTGATGCGGAGTGATAAGAGGCCATTCTTACAGCGAGAACAGACCCTTGGAATCGGGCAGCCCGGACAGCCTGGTCCCTTGTCATTGTCCCTCAATGAAGCTCAGCTTAAATGTCTCCAGTAACCCTTGCATGAATGAATTAGACAGTTAGCTGGTCATTTTGTAAGAGCATCTGGCAAAGTTAATGAATGCTAGTCTGAAGAAACACCTCACAGAGGTTAGCAATGAAGCTAAGAGTTGACATTGGTTCTGTGTTGGGTTGGTAGATGTTTACCAAGTTCCTGGTTTGTGTACTAAATTCAAACCGTCCTGGTTTGATGTCACGCCCCCACCAGATCCCTAACTATCACACGCCCGTTTGCATGAAGATAGATAACATTGTTCTCGCTGCTCCTCCCCTGCATCCTTCTTTTCCTGCCAGGGGCTGCCCCCGGAGGCCTGTGTTGCCCCGTTCTGGCGTCTTTTCTCTGCCCCCTTTACCCGCCCTCCCCCCCCATGTGGCAGCAGGCCGAGGTGCCTCCCATGTAAACATCCATAAGAGATCAGATTGAGGCCAGCGACCATGCAGCAAGAAACAATGGTGGAGAATAGAGATGTATGCTATCTTGGTAATTTCACTAGGGGGGAGGAGGTAGCTGGCCCCCAGCCTGAGAACCATGATGCTTAGCGAAAATACAGAATCTAAAATCCGTTTGAGCCGTTGTAGTAACGACGTAAAGAAAACAAAACCAGACGTCTGTTCCACGCACAGAAAATGGCGTGATCATTTCATTGGGGGTAAAACATAAATAATTCCATACTATGTAAGCACCACATTGGGGAACAGCTGAGAACGTCTGTGCTGAAATCTCGTAAAGTGGAGAAATTTCAACATAATTCGTAATCTCCACGATCATTTATCTCAGCGGCACAGATTTCCTCATTCAGCCGGGGTCTTATTGGCCGCTAGAGTCGTCCACCCCTGTGTTGTGTGGGGAGGCCGCTGACATGGGCAGTGACACCGCACGGCGATGCCGAGCCGCTTTCGGCACGCTCCCTGTGACTCACCATGCACCAGTTGTGTTTTTAGCCCGAGGAAATATCTGTCAGTGTGTTAGAATCTAAACTTCACCCATCAGCTACGTGCGAAACATGCTGTCCAGGCTTGTCACGGACGTTTGGGTGCTACTTCGCTCTCTTTTGCCTTCCGATTGTGATTGGAAAGTCTTTGGTTTCCATAAAAGAATCCTGCCATAATACGTGATCAGTTGAGCGTCTCAAATTCCTAAGCGCTGAAAGTTAAGCCATAAGCTGGACAAATTCAATACTCCGGGGGGGGGGGGAGGCTCTGATTTCCTCACAGGAATGAGTCATTAATTACTTTTATAATTCAGATAAAGTATTTAAGGAGAGTTTAAGATCTCATCAGTTTAAATGGAAAGCATGTTCACTCCTTGCTTAAGACCTCTACGTGAAACTCTGGCCAGATGTTAACTGCTAAACAGTGGAAATGGTATCTCAGAGATGCTTTGCGTCAGACCGATTGCCCATCATTTAATATGCCTGACGCACAGCAGAAAGCCTGTGTACTTACTCATCGAGCTGGTGCCCATACACAGCCACATGCACTCACCTGAAGTCAGATTTCACAATATACAGATATAAACCTCTTATTTCATGTACAAATTTTAAATTTAACAAACTAGCTTTAACAATCTGTTGAAACCAGGGGTTATAATTTTGCCTTCTTCGTGGAATAATCTGCATTTTGCTAAACAGCGGTAAGTAATTGCCTTATATAAATGATAATTGGCTCTTACTGATTTGGATGATTATAAAGGTTGATTTTTTTGGATACCTGTACCTGTTTTTCAGCATAGTGAGCTCAGTAAATTATAGACCAAATGGTAATATAAATGCTTGCCTGTATACCAAAAAAAAGGAGAAATGGACTTAATTGTTAATTGTAAAATCATGCTGTTTTAATGAGGATTCAATCAGAATGTTCTCTGTAGATATTTGGCACGCCAAGCATGATTTCCTGGAAATAAAGCATTTATTGTCTGTCTCTGTTTCTGCCAGTTTAGTTTTCTGGCATTTGTTGGAATTGAGACCAAAAGCAAATTCTATATGTGTTGCATCATATTAAGAAACTAGCGCCTGATTGCCTGTTTTATTGAAGAATGTGATGCAGAGAAGATGTAAGAAAGGTGACCTGGATTGTTTCCTCTTAGGCCCAAACATTCATCATCCGTAATGAGCAATTTTGTTCACAGTCAACATTGTTCATCATTTTATCTTGATTCATCATTTGTTTGATTTGGTGAAATGGAATCCCACTTGTAGAAGCAGATTATTGCGTTGAACTGAGTTGGACATCCCACTGCGGGGTCCCCTGAAGGACAGCATCGGTTTTCTTTGGTTTTGTCATGCTTGCTAGAGTTCTGTTTTTTATGCCGGGGATATCCCGTGCTGAGACGCACTGTAAGTAGGTACCGTTAAACAGTCTGCGAGGAGTTAAACACTGCGAGGAGTTAAGCACACTGTGAGGAGTTAAACACACTGCGAGAAGTTAAGCACACTGCGAGCAGTTAAACACACTGCGAGCAGTTAAATACACTGCGAGGAGTTAAACACATTGTGAGGAGTTAAATACACTGCGAGGAGTTAAACACTGCGAAGAGTTAAACACACTGCGAGCAGTTAAACACACTGCGAGCAGTTAAATACACTGCGAGGAGTTAAACACATTGTGAGGAGTTAAATATACTGCAAGCATTTAAACACACTGCGAGGAATGAAACACACTGCGAGGAGTTAAACGGACTGCACTTTGTCAGCTGCGGGTCACAGATAAGGTGCTGCACTCAGGTGTTTAAGGTCCTCTATGTCTGTGCACCCTGTACCTGCACTTGACTCTTGATGGGCCAAGAAGAGGACCTTGATGATCGTTGATCTGTTAGCCTTGGAAGCCAAAACATTGAAGGAACATGAGGGTCAAAACGGCCTCTGATCTCTGCACTGAAGCCTTTTCTATATTCTTTCAAGGTCCTGAGGAGATCTTGCTTTTTATTTGTGTCTGTGACACCCAGAAGTGTGGTCATGGTCCACTTAAACTAAACCAGCTAATTCCCACCATGAAGAAATTTCCTGGGTTTCACTTCTTGCTCTTTGGCTTCCTAAAGACTTATGAAACTTGACTCCTCTTGGTGCTTCGGGCCTGTGTGGTCCCGGACAAGCTCGCTCGTCTGTGTTGTTCTCTGCAGGCGGGCCAGTTTGGGTTACTACGGTCTTGGCTGGTCAGTCCTCAACCGTGAAGGCTCAGCTTAGAGATTAGACACCGCCCATAAAACTGAGGGACACATTTGACAGCTGGCACTCAGCGGTCAGGATCCTGTGGCTCTCATTGGCTCCCACCTGACCATGGGTGGCAGATGCGGCCAGTATTCATTTATCCCCCCCACCTAGAGTGGCTGTTCTAAAGCCACGCCCACCCCAGTGGCAAGCCTGGGATTGGCTGTCTGCTGATGACAAGCCCCTGAGTCAAAGTAAATTTTCCTGCACACATAAACAGTTGGAGGATGAGTGATTTACTGATCTTTGCCGTTGACCAAATGGCTGCACTGGAAACTGAGAAGCCTTATAAAGTTGCAGCTTGGCGATGCCCAGCCTCCTTCAGGAATGCCAAAGAAGCGGATTTTGTTCAGAGGATGCCGGGAGGAATGGGAGACCCGCAGAGCTCAGGACATGATTTTGCTGAACAGTTGAGTTAACCCATTGTGATTTGATTTATGTAGTGTTCTGCTTGCCTGCTCCTGGCTTTTACTGAGACTCCTACAGTTTAAAATATCTGGTATCTGGTGTCTGGCTGTGAAGTGATTTCAGACCCCACGTCATCACTGGTCAGCACTGGTATTCCACTTTGACTTATAGCTCGGTGCCTCTGTTTTGCACTGTTCTGGTGTGCTATCACGTATCTGGACTGCATGTCAACAAGCAGCTTCCGCAAGTTGCTCAGAGGTGAGTCTGTTCCACCCGGACGGGACGTGAAGGAATCGCGAGGCCCTGGTATCTGCCCAGGTGTCCAGTGGAGAGGCGGGATCTTCTTCATTGATGTCAGTCACAGTGCCTCAGTTGAAGGGAGCGTGCTGGCCCTTTAAGAGAGCTTCTCAGAAATCCATGTTGTCCTGCTTTATGAGGGTTTTCCTTTGTTTATTTTGGACGGGAATCTTAGACTACTTGTT